TTATAAAAACTTTTATCTAAATTAGTGACAGTATAGATCATTTTAGGTCACATGTAGATTTAGAAGTGCTGCCAACAAACTCTTACAGAATATCATATTAAAAACCCCAGTAATGGGAATATAACTTCCCAATTTAAACTATGTTTAACTACTTAATTTTTTTAAGACTGTGAGAAAAGTAAACATTAGGTTTATTTTTCATGACCACAGGAAGCTAAGATTCTGAATGAACACACAGAAAACATAAACATAAAAGAAGAATGAGGGGAAAATGAAAGCAAATAAAACTATGCAAAAGCAGTGTATAAAAGTGGCTGTAACAAAGGGAAGACTGAGTCAGGTTTTTAAAATTGGCTCTGTGCACACAGAAAAGACAGTGTAGGTAAAGGTTAAGTCTAGGGCAAGACCTCAGTGTGTTTAAGATCGCATTTCAGTCTCAAAATAGGAAGAGAAGGTAGGGGAGATGGAGGGAAAAGAGGTGAAAAGAAAAGGAATGATGCTCCTTTTTGGAGTATGTACCATAATTGTGCACTCTATACAGGTGTATATTGATGTTTATAACTTGACCACCTCTGAGGAAAGTCCAAACCATTTTTAAGGTTAATTTTAAAGATGAAAAGCACTTTCATGTATGTGTAACAATCCATAACTCTTTCCTTCGTGCACTTAAAAGAGTCTAAAACCACCAGTATTCTCAGGGAAATTCTTATTTTTCCATCCCCTGTAAGCAGGGAATCTTACTTGGCATAAGAATTTGTCATAGGGGATGAAAAAAGGCATCTGCTGTGTTCTTTTAAGGACTGACTTCACATCTTGGGGCTGCCCTCACACCACTTGCTCTTCATACCTTTGTTTTCACTCTGTTAAGAGTAAGCACTGAACTTGGCTGAGTAACCCATTACCTGTTAGATACAGGTTTAGCTAAATTTACTAACAAAATTTTGTATCCTCAATCTGCCTTGCAAGTACACATCTGGAAGAGAAGCATAACCACAACCATTAAGATTATGGTTAAACTTAATCCCTCAACAGCAGTGACACATCCCAAAGCAAAGGCTAAAACTGAAAGGACACACTAATAATTACCAATAGGAAAGCACACACTCTTCACATGATGCCTTCACTGTATACAAATGTTAAATTAACTTGTTAGTCATTTTCATCTTGTTGCTGCACACAAATGTTGAATGGATTTGACAATTTGGCTCAATTATCAGCCTGTAAGGTAGAACGTTGCACTGCCTACCACATCTCTGTATATCCAGCACGTACAAAATGGAACCAGTTCTTAGATGAGATTAATATATCACTGAAAACAGTTGTCAGAGGTTTAATTAAAATAAAGACTGACATAATTACAGGCAGAGGGAAAAACAAATCTGAATGCCTACTGATAGCCACCCCTGTTTTCTCCTCTTCCCCCAAACTGATCACACAGTTCAGTCTGTAACTTAGAAACATTTTTGAAGAATGCAATGTTCTCAGTATCCATAAGTAAAGCAATCATGTCTATGGTTAGGAAGACAGCCCCTATCCCACGTGCAATATTCTGTAGAGGACAATTAAATTGGAATGTACTACAGTAAGTGTTGTGCATCTTGATACAAAGCCTAGAAAAACCTCCAGCTAGTTGAGAACCCCATAGCATTGCTCCTGCAACAGAGGCAACTCTAAAGCCATTAATCCCACTCAGCTGTTTGAAACAGTTTCCTCACAGAATATCAAATCAAGATTCAGTCTCAGTTCTTATCCTCAGAGCCCTCCCTAGCCTGAACTGAAGAAGGATAGCTAAAAAGTCACCTAAACAGCAGCATAAGGAGACAAATTCTTGTCCACAGTTAAACCATGCAATGCAAGCTCATGTGCATGGGAGACAACTTTCTTTAGATTAAGCCATAACTGAACTCTTCCAGAAACCAAGGCCTGTCTGCCCAAACAAGATTCTTTCCCATATACAGTTTTGGTTCTTCAGCAGAGGAAAAACATGATACAAACCACTTAATGGCAGTTCATGCACAACTGCAAGTCACTGGGATACTATACTAATGCCTTCAGATAAAGAATCTATTTAAAATTAAAATACTAACAAAATCCCAAAACAAAATGTAATATTTAGACTATGACATCATCTCAATGCCTCGTGAAATCTCACAGAGCATCCCTCAGTTGCTATAAACTTCCAGAGTTCCCTTGAGTCCTCCAGAATATCTGTTCCTATGCTTAAAATTCTCTGTTTTTCCAGCATTTTTTCTAGTTATTCTTTAACCTTGTGGACTGAAAAACAAGATTTGGAGTTACAACATACTTGCACGTAGGGAAAAAATAACATCTTTATTACTTTAGAAACCTGATGCTTTATAAGAATTGGTCACACATCAAAAAGGCATTCACTGTCAAAATCATCCACTCTGCTGCAGAAGTATGCAACTTCAAAGTATTCCTTTGACTGCAGTTCTATAGCCAGTTCTCAAATAAAACATGTAGTGAACTTTGATTTTAAACAAACTCCCCTGCCACTACACAAATAAATAAATTTCTGCTGAAATGCATGAATTTTTTACTATAGCAAAATAATAAAAACTCTTAATATTTCTTACCAAGGCCAATAATGGCTTTTGTCTGTACTTCTTCATCTGAATGCTTTGTGAAATACATCAGCAGTTCAAGTACTTTATCCTTAATATTAACCTGAGGAAATTAAAACAAAAATAATAGCTATTTTAAGATGAAACAAATGTTTTTGATCCCTTATAAAAAGCATAAATATCAAAAAGGAGAAATACAAACTTACTGCATGGCCTTTGCAAAACCATGTATTTACAAACCAAAAAGCTATATTGTATGCATTATGAAAAAGTACATAGCTTTGAGGGACTAAGAATACTGCACTTTCAAATTGAAATGGAGCATTTAATATACATAAAAGATGTGGAGAGTAAATACATGTTATTTTACCTTACTGTTGCCCTTAAAATCTTCCTGATCAAAATCAAAATGCCGACACAGTGCTCCAACAGTGAAAAGTGACCTAAGGAGTGCTGGTTTATTGGCAGTAACTATTGTACTGTTGGGGTCTTCTTGGTGTTGACTTTTTAATTTCGAAAGTGCACCTACAGTAAGATAAAAGTTTTGATCATAGTAGTTAATCATGGTGTATCCCTAAGACAAGACTTGTAGCCAAAACTGAAGAGTGACAATTACATGTTGTGATTTTACTTACCATAGTATCTATTAAAACAGGCCCACACAAATTTATAATTCTGGGTGACCTTGTTCACGACAGCCCCAAGACAGCTCACACAATGTTGAACAACCTAGGATCAAGAAAGAACAAATAGTTATATATTTGAAGTTAAAACTGAGACTTTTGTGAAGTTATGTAGGAAAAAGCTATGTAGAACTAAAACTAATGATCTAAAAGATGTAACGTCCATCTCCTAGACTTCTCAAAACCCACCCAAACTTATAATTGTTAAAAAATAGCAACAACACATACAAACACCAGTAAACCAAGAACATTGATTTTTCATGGCACAAAAGTTATCTTCATAATGAAGACAACACTTTCTTTAAATCAAAAACACGTATTTCACAATGTGAAATAGAATCAACCGCATAGTAGCAATTAAAAGCTTACCGTCATGCCATATTTGATGATGAGTTTCATGAGGTCTTCCTCAATAGTGGCAAGAAAGGTCTCACTTGGGTGCTCCATTAGTGGCACTACAAGCTCTAAGATTTTTGCAACATTGCAGATCACCATGAAATCGTTCTGGGTCTGAAACAACAGTATTTATAGCATTTAACATTTCTGGCTGTGTTACCTATAAGCTAAGTATTATTAAAATGTATTATGTAATACATATGTATTAATATTACAAAATACATATTAATATAATACAATTAGAGACAAA